CCTGAGCACCTGACCTTCATCGTCCAGCTTGCTCTCTCCTCTCTCTATAAACAGAGTCCAGTTTCCTCTCTCTGTCTCTCTGGCCATCACTCTCTCCCTCTTTACCTTCTTCCTTCCTGTCCTATCTGAGTGTCCAGCACGCCTGTGTCCCTAACAAGGACAAGAAACCAGTTCACTGCACTCCCAGTATCCTGCCTCTCTCGTCCTCCTGCAGAGGGAAACTACAGAGAATCGCTACAACATATTGTAGTTTCAGACATGTGATCATTAGGCTAAGGAGGAAGAACAGATTAAATGAAGCTGCTTTCACAAGTGTCACCTGTTGATCTGCTTTGAGCAGCGAAGGGCTGATTGTGGCTCACTGGTAAAATGCAGTGAGTTTATCTCAGGGTTTGATGTGTATTATAGATGTTTGTAGTATAGATGTTTGTACTATAGATGTTTGTATTATAGATGGCTGCATCAGTAGCTCTTCTGGGGTGTAGTTCTCTATCAAGACTAGAAGATGCTCTTGCTAATGAGCTAAACGTTTTCATTTTTTTAGTTCCTACTGGCTGGATTGTAAATTGTCAGTTGTTCTCAAGAGGAATGTCCTGAGCTGCTCATACACAGAGGAATTTTAAATCCTTCCTGACACAGACATTCAGACACACGTGTCTATATATAATGAGCACATACTGTCCATTCTTCTCCACTGGATCACCAGAAGTACTGATACTGCTACAGTAACAGCTGCTGTTAGGAAGAGAGCCACCATCCATCCAGAGGGAGCAGGGAAATAGTCTCCTGGAAAACAGAATAAATTAAGAATAAATTAGATAAATGTAGTGTCATTCTGTAGCGTTGCCATGGCAGCCAACCTCTCCCCTTCTCTCCTGTCAATCAGTGCTGGTTGCCATGGATATACAATAAAACAGGAGACCTGGATCATCTGGGCAGAGTCTGATCGTGCCTGTGTAGGAGATGTGGGCTTTTAATTTACTGTTTATTACTGTTTGATTGTAAATTGCAAGAGTACTTGACAACTTTTAAGAGCCAATCAAACGTTATAATTTAGATCTCCACACCCCGATTCTAAATATACAAAATACAGTTTATTGATAAAACACATACACACACATAACAAGCATAAAAAACAAATATATTTGAATATACTGTATCAGTGCCGATCTGCTGCGATACAAAAGGCTGATTGTTCACTCGGGGATAACAAAGATCAGAGACCAAGACATGTTATTGGTTACCTTCTAGGTTTTATCAGTCTCATGTAATTAAATTACAGTATTACATGCACTACAGAAAGCACACTGACAGGTTACATCACAGTGTGCAGTGTGCACACTGTGCACTGCAGTGTGGCAACTGCAGTGCTGCTGACCGCAGTGCCCTACAGCGGGCGGTGGACACTACCCAGTCCATCACTGGAGCTGCCCTCCCATCTATACAGGACATTGATGACAGACGGTGCTTGAGGAAAGCTCTAAGCGTCATCAAAGACCCCACACATCCTACCTACAGACTTTATGATCTGCTACCATCTGGAAAACGGTAGATTAATTATTAATGCATATCTGAATATACGCTTATGACATTTAGTTTTTGCTGTATTTTCACAATAGTGGCTTTGACAGTCAGCAAACAGTGTATTTCATTGCTCCTACTGAAGGTTTCTCTGTTACTTTGTGTTTCCTGTAGTTTAATGGCATCTCTCTGTCAAGACTGTGAAGATAAAAAACTTTTCTCCCCAGTCTAGACTGTAATTAACACTGTGAACATCCTATCAGTGTAAAAACAGGTAAGTGTAAACCTGCATTACATTACATAGTACATAAACATTACATATTTCTGAACCAGTTTCATTCAGTTTAATTTGCTTTGAACCATCTGGAAAACGGTACCGGAGCATTCAGTCCCAGACTACCAGACTCAGAGACAGTGTTTACTCCCGCACTATCAAACTATTAAACTCCCAGCCTCTCTTACCTACAATCTGAACCCTCACAGTGCCTCCTCTCTTTATCAAAACACAAACACACATTGAAATCTGCCTCTACCTCACATGTCAAGAAGTTCACTCCCCATAATTTTCTATCCTTTATTTCATTCTGTTGATGTATGATTTTGCACATTGCCTGTTGTCTCTGTCTTTCTTTTCTTGCACCATTGTATTGTACTACTTACCGACTGAGAGAGAGTAAATAGCATTTCGTTATACCATAGACCTGTGTATGAGCATGATGACAATAAACTTGAACTTGTTGAACTTCAGTCTTGCAATAATACTCTGTGCTCATTGTCTTCTTGGGTGGGACTGTAAGGTACACAGATAGGAAGAACTAGGCTCATCCTGGCTATAGCCTGGTTCTGAAAGAGTTTGATTATTCTGGATGTTGTCAATAGTCCAACTGTCTGATTTCATTGATGAGGTGAAAATAACAGTGGGTTTGCGACCACAAGATCTCTTCTGTTTCAGATAGATGATCACGGGGAGAAGTCTGTACTCCACTGAGTCAGTGTCTTGGCCTGGCGAAAAGTTAAGGTCCTGACTCAGACTGCTGGCAGCAATGTGGTTATAAAAGTCAGAAAACCAGTTCACTTGAAGAGATTAAAAGCCAATGAGTTAACCAGTGAAAATGAACTGGGTTCTTGTTTTTAAGGTGGGAATTGGCTGAGATGCTATCAGGTACCCACCCTGAAGACCCCCAATTAATGAAACTTGCTTTGGGTGATGAGCAGTAACCTTGGACCTGTGGTTTTGAGAAGAAGACAGTCTCACTGTTGCCCATCTGCTCTCAGCTGTGGACTCGGTTTGCCTCCTTGACCCTGGATTCTGATTCTCACATGTTTCCTGGATATATATCACTGGACCAAGACCCTGGACTGTGTCTGCGTGCCTGTCCTCACTCCTGTGTGTTTACTGCACACACCACACCACCTGTCCTCACTCCTGTGTGTTTACTGCACACACCACACCGCCTGTCCTCACTCCTGTGTGTTTACTGCACACACCACACCGCCTGTCCTCACTCCTGTGTGTTTACTGCACACACCACACCGCTTGTCCTCACTCCTGTGTGTTTACTGCACACACCACACCGCCTGTCCTCACTCCTGTGTGTTTACTGCACACACCACACTGCCTGTCCCCTCTCCAGTCTGCTCCCCTCCTGCACTCGGGTTCACTTCACCCCCACAGACCGCTGCTCAGCTCCTTCTTCAGTGACATCACATGTAGTGAGAAGTTAGTTATCTGACTAGTGATGCAGAACTGAATGATTTTTGAGTGGTATTCTTTCAAAACAAATTCCTCGTGCAGGTTGTGCTCAGTGTCCCAGGTGTGTTATACCCTGGGTGTGTGTTATACCTCAGCTGTGTTACAGGTGAGCTCCAGTGTTCATGTTTAATACTCACTGGGTATGTGGAGCTGAGATCCCCAGTCTGGCTCAGGAAGAGCACTTCTCACCAGGCAGGAGAAGATGTTGGACTCCTGTTTGACTGGGATG